CGCTAACCTTGCTCGAGGCGACTTCTGGCATGGAGGACAGGAAGGTGGGTGGGGAGGCAGTTATTGCTTTGAGGGAGAGTCCCCCTCCCTACAGGAAGCCATGACCATGTGTCATGGGAGGGAGAATGGCTGCGGATCCTGTTCATCACCTGATCTGGCGTTCGCGAACGGAAGCAAAATTTTGCAAACAGTGCTGTTCGTGACCCAAATTGGTCATGAACAGAAGTGTTCATGACCCAAGATACCACTGTATTTATAGAGCAGTTGTCATGTCTACTGTATGAACATTCATAAAAACATATTTTAGTAAATATGTGGGGAAGCAACATCTTAATCCCATTCATATTTCATTTGTTTAACTTTAAAGCCTGGTCCTGTGGAACTACCTACCATATTACCTTAAAAATCTGCCTTAACTATGAACTGTTTAAGTGCTTTCACCAAAGCAAACTGTGCAGGGTTATAGGGTTCAAGATACTATAGAAAGATAAAATGGAGTATAGTTGTACTTTCACAATATATTTCAGGAGACAAATTTCAACAAACATAGTGAATTATTAGACAGGATACCAAGGGAGAGCAGAATGGTTGGGAATGTCTTAAAAATAAGACAATATCAGTTGCTCAGAGAAGATGGTAGGACAGTAAAAAAAAAAAAATGATGGCGGGAGGGCAGAGCTCCTGTATTCCTCCTTTGACCTTTGCCTCAAAGGGGAACTGTGTTCAAAACTGATCTAAGCCAGGGGGTCCATGGGAAGAGGGTCAATAAAGTTAAAATGGCAGCCATAACTATGCAATCAAAACCCCACCTCTTTTTTATGTGTGTCATGATCTTGATTTTGTTATCCCCCTGCAGACACCTCTGATCTAAGCAGAACAGCTGACACAAGGAGGGACTGAGAACTCAAGGAAAGTAAAGAAATGAATAGGGACCATCTGTCTCCTATAATAAGTTGAAGTCTCCAGAACTAGATCAATTATAACTGAAGGAGCTTGTGGAATGTCATCTCAGAGCCATTATGTGATCTTTGAGAAATCTTGGAAGATTAGTGTGGTGCCAGAACTGGTGAAAGGCAATATTGTTCCTATCTTCAAAACAGGAGAGAAAAAGAAAACCCAGGCAACTACAGACCAGTCAGTTTGATGTTGATACCAGGCAAAAATGCTCTTGAGGAATTGATTTGTGACCATTTAGAAAAAATGCATTGGTCAGCAGGACCCAGCATGGGCTTATCACAAAAAAGTCATATTAAACCAGTCTGATCTCCTTAGCTGACCTTGGGAACACAGTGGATAAAATGTACCTAGATTTCAGCAAAGAATTCAACAATATCTCCTAAGAGATCCTAGTAGATGGCAAAATATGAATTGAACTGTGCTGCCATTAGAAATATAGAGTG